GAAATGCGTCGTGAGATTATTAAGGAGTTCCTGGCAGAAATCACCAAGCGCAGAGTTTGCACTAGCTGTGGTGGCATTTCACCTTCGTACCGCAAGGATCGATTTGTGAAAGTTTTCGAGAGATCGCTATCCGATAAGGACAAGGCCAAGATGGCTCAGAAGAATTTCAAGCAGGCCGATGCTATGACCAGAGTCCACCAAGTCGCAACCAAACAGAAGCCAGATGGATACTCATCCGACGAGGGCGTTGCAGATGTGGCTTCTCCTACTCGTGAGACTGCCCGCGTTAATGGAGATGTCACCGATCAGGACACAGAGATGATAGATGCGGATACGGCTTCTGCTCCTTCTTCTCCACAGCGGTATATCAGCGCCATGGAGGTTAGAGCTCGTCTCAGCGAGTTGTTCACCAAGGAGCAAGAATTAATTTCCCTCCTATACAACGCGAAGCCTCCAACCCGAAGCTCTACCAAAGTCACACCCGACATGTTTTTTTTGACAACCATCCTAGTTCCTCCCAACCGCTACCGCCCCGAAGCTCGAACAGGCGAGTCCGAGATTTCTGAAGCCCAGCAAAATTCTCTTTACAAAAACATTCTCAGAGGCTGTGGAACGATCGCGCGTCTACATAGGGAGTTACAAGAGGAGAAAGCCGATGTCAACAGGATGCATCAGGCCTCGGCAGAGCTACAGGAGTCGGTCAACGCGCTCATCGATAAGGACAAAAACCCGGTCCAAGGTGCTGCGGCGAAGCGCAACGAGGATGGCATCAAGCAGAAGCTTGAGAAAAAGGAAGGTCTCTTCCGAAAGAACATGATGGGTAAGCGCGTTAACTACGCCGCTCGAAGTGTCATCTCACCCGATCCCAATATCGAGACCAACGAAATCGGTGTGCCACCCGTCTTTGCGAAAAAGTTGACATATCCCGAGCCAGTGACCAGTCACAACTTCAGAGACATGCAACAGGCAGTCATCAACGGTGTCGACAAATGGCCTGGCGCTTTCGCCATTGAGAATGAAAATGGCCAGATCGTCAACCTTCGCAACAAGTCAGTCGACGACCGTGTATCTCTCGCAAACCAGCTACTTGCTCCCACAAGCAGTAATGCTGCTCGGACCCGGAACAAGAAGGTTTACCGTCATCTGACCAATGGTGATGTTGTCCTGATGAACCGACAGCCAACACTTCACAAGCCGTCTATTATGGGTCATCGAGTTCGAGTTCTCCCTGGCGAAAAGACGATTCGAATGCACTACGCCAACTGTAACACATACAATGCTGATTTCGATGGTGATGAAATGAACATGCATTTTCCGCAGAACGAAGTTGCCCGTGCCGAAGCCCTCCAGATTGCCGACACTGATCACCAATACCTTTCTGGTACTGCGGGAAAACCTCTCCGAGGTCTCATTCAGGATCATATCTCGGTATCCGTTGCTCTCTGTAACCGCGACACATTCTTCACCAAAGGCGACTATCAGCAGCTGGTTTACAACGCATTGCGGCCCGAGAGTGGTCACATTGTTGGCGAGAGAATCGAACTTGTTGCCCCTGCAGTGATCCGACCTGTTGCTCGATGGACCGGCAAGCAGGTCATTACCACCATCCTGAAGAACATGCAGCCTCCCAACTGCGGTGGGCTTTCCATGAAAGCAGAAACACAAATCAAAGCCAGTCAGTGGGGCGTTAACTCAGAAGAAGGAACTGTCGTTTTTCAGGATGGCGAATTCATCACCGGTATTCTTGATAAGTCACAGATTGGTCCCAGCTCTGGTGGTGTCATCCACGCTGTTCATGAGATTTATGGCCCGGCTGTTGCGGGTAAGCTCTTGAGTAGTCTCGGTAGATTGCTCACAAGATATCTCAACATGAGGGCTTTCTCTTGTGGTATGGATGATTTGAGACTTACACCTGAGGGAGAGCAAGCTCGGCGAGAAGCGCTTGTGCCTGCCGACTCAGTGGGTCTCAAAGTTGCATCTTCCTACGTTTCTCTCGAGCAGAACCCAGGTCCTAGAGATCCTCTTCTACTGGAGCGTCTGGAAGAGGTACTTCGCGACGACAGTAAACAAGAAGGTCTGGATCTTCTGATGAAGGAAGGTCTTAGTAAGATCACGGACAAGATCCAGACGGCTACCATGCCTGTTGGTCTCGAGAAGGCTTTCCCCTTCAACCAGATGCAAGCCATGACAACATCCGGTGCCAAGGGATCCAGAGTCAATGCTTCGCTGATTTCTTGCAACCTAGGTCAGCAGGTTTTGGAGGGTCGGCGTGTCCCTATCATGGTCAGCGGCAAGTCATTGCCATGCTTTAACCCATTCGAGACTCATGCTCGAGCTGGCGGTTATATCGTGCAGCGCTTCCTTACAGGTATCCGGCCTCAGGAGTACTATTTCCATCACATGGCCGGTCGAGAAGGTCTGATCGATACTGCTGTCAAGACGTCTCGTTCCGGCTACCTGCAGCGATGTGTCATCAAGGGTATGGAGGGCTTGACGGTTGCGTACGATACTACCGTGCGAGATGCAGATGGCTCCATGATTCAGTTCCTGTATGGCGAGGATGGTCTCGATGTTTCCAAGCAGAAGTATTTGACTGATTTCAGCTTCATCCTGGAGAACGTCACATCAGAGGCTTCACAGCTCCGATACGACCCCAGTGTTGGTGAGCGCCTAGGAATGCACCGCGATGCGATCACCAAATACATGAAGAAGGCCCTCAAGCACACCAGCACCAAGGCTCAGGACCCGATCTCGGGTCTCTTCAACCCTGCTACGACCGCGTTCGCTACATCCGAGAACTTCTACAAGGCCATGACTTCATACATCAAGGAGAACAAGGATGGCCTTGTCCGAGACAAATCGGACAAGAACAAGCTTGCGCTCTCTCGTGTGAGCCTCAATAAGAAGAATGCGGAGATGCTGTTCGCGATGAAATACTTGCGTTCTCTTGTGGAGCCTGGAGAAGCTGTTGGCATCGTAGCAGGTCAGTCTGTTGGTGAGCCCTCGACGCAAATGACACTGAACACGTTCCATTTGGCTGGTCACTCTGCAAAGAACGTCACGCTGGGTATCCCTCGACTGCGTGAGATTCTCATGACCGCTAGCGACAAGATCTCCACCCCAGCTATGTCTATTTACCCAATTGAGGAGATGTCTGCAGAAGATGCTGAGATCTTTGCCAAGTCCATCTCGGTGTTGCCTCTTGGCTTCATTCTTGATAGCATCAACGTTGAAGAGAAGGTTGGCCAAGGCAAGATTTACGGTTCGGCCAAGATTTACAAGGTCGATATAAAGTTCTTCGACTCGGGGGAGTACACCAAGACATATGCCATCAATATCTCAGATGTTGTTGAGGCTGTTGAGAGGAAGCTTCTGCACCGGCTGCTGGCTCTTGTGAAGAAGGACATCAGAAAGCGAATGACAATGTCTACAATGGCCACTCCTGATGTTGGCGCCAAGGCTGGTGTTGTGGAGACAGCTGGTCCCAATGCTGAGGCTGCCGGCAATTTCGATGATGATGAAGACGATGAGGATGGTGATGACGACGCGACAAATGCCAAGCAGCGAGCCAAACGAAGTGAGGCAGTATCGTATGGACCCAACGATAATGATGACGATGCCGTGCAGCAGGAAATGGAGCGGGATGCCGCTGATGATGCTGATGAGGATGAAGGTTTCGGTGGCAGCCCCCGACAGGCGGAAGATGACGTGGATGGTGAAGGTGTCGACTGGTCCGCAAAGGAACGAACCAACCGGGTCCTTGAACAATACGCTGAGGTTACAGACTTCTCATTCGACGAGAAGACTGGAGCGAACTGCAGTTTCACGCTCGAGTATGATTCAACTATTCCCAAGGTCCTCATGCTCAACCTCGTTCAAGACGCTGTGAAGAAGACAGTGATCCAGGAAATTTCTGGTGTCGGTGCTTGCACCTTGGTCGAGGAGAAGGACACGAAGGTCATCCATACAGCGGGTGTGAACTTGCAGGCAATGCAGCGATACAGCGATTTCATCGACCCCAACCGCATCCAGACCAACGACATCGCTGCCGTACTGGCCGTGTACGGTGTTGAGGCAGCCCGCCAAAACATCGTGCAAGAACTTGCTGGCGTCTTCGGATCTCACGGCATCAAGGTGGACAACCGCCACCTGAACCTCATCGGAGACCACATGACGAGAAATGGTGGATTTACACCTTTCAACCGAATGGGTCTCAAGGGTAATGTTAGCCCCTTCACCAAGATGAGTTTCGAGACGACGCTGGCATTCCTCAAGGACGCTGTGCTGGATGGTGATTGGGACGATCTGTCTACACCCAGCGGTCGGTTGGTGATGGGTAGACTTGGAAAGGTTGGCACGGGTGGATTCGATGTTTTGGCGCAACTTCCTACATATCATGTTGATTCTTTGGCGTAATTTGGTCCGTAACAAAAAGAGTAGATGCAATCAATTTGATCAATTATATAATATTTGAATAAGCTGATGAATCCTTCACGTCCGTCAAGGGAGTTAATTGTACCATGGAGCCAGCCTTTCAACGCTGTAGAAGATAAGGTATACTCACGCAAATCCTCCATCGGGTCTGGCAATTACACAAGGCAGTCAGTTGATGATTAGTGTGTGAGCGAGCGACTGAGTACCTGCGACCACTTCCACAGGCTGCGGCGATGAGTCATTTAACTTGGATCGTAACGGGTATCAGGCTCCCCAGCTGGCCCTGTCGAGCAATATGCCACTTCACCATGAGGGCAACAGGGCCAGGCACCTTATCACGCTCTCGGTTGTTGACATCAATTAGTCGCGTCAGTGCAAACAAGCGCGCTATTGCATTCACGATTTCACTGAAGGACGCGATGGCGGTTGAGCTACATAAATTCTATTTCATAGCGAATCACACGAGGAACGAGAAATGATGATCAAAGACCGGTGGTCGATTGCATAGGGCAGCTAACTAGCTTGCCATTTAATATACATCCCAACTGTAGAAAGCATGTTCCTCGTGAACGCCTTGATTATCCCCTAACCATGATATCCCTCGTGTCAAAGCAAAAAGTCGTGAACCTCCCAAATACCCATCTGTGAAGTCGCTTAGTTGCGCTCACCTCGGAGGCGGCGGGCGAGCTGGATGTCCTTGGACTGGATGGTGACACGCTTGGCGTGGATGGCGCAAAGGTTGGTATCCTCGAAGAGGGAGACGAGGTAGGACTCGACGGACTCCTGGAGAGCACCGATGGCAGAAGACTGGAAGCGGAGATCAGACTTGAAGTCCTGGGCAATCTCACGGACCTGTTCGTCATGTTAGTGGATGTCAAGTAATGGTGTGAATAGATGGTGATGCTTACCAGACGCTGGAAGGGGAGCTTTCGGATGAGGAGCTCAGTCGACTTCTGGTATCGTCGAATCTCACGGAGAGCGACGGTACCGGGCTTGTAGCGGTGAGGCTTCTTGACACCTCCGGTAGAGGGGGCGGACTTGCGGGCTGTTGGTGAAGTTAGTCATGATGTTCTTGATGGACAAAGAGACGCGTGTCGCGTCAGGTTCAAGTCTGAGGACTTACCAGCCTTGGAAGCGAGCTGCTTGCGAGGGGCCTTGCCACCAGTGGACTTGCGGGCGGTCTGCTTAGTGCGAGCCATTGTTGATTGTTGATGTGAAGATGGAAAAGTTGAAGATGATGATGTGGTTGATGATGGTTGTTGTTGATGGTTGTGGGGGTGGAAGGCTGAAGTGGGTGTGTGATGCAGAAGGAAAAGTCGAGAGAGGGAGCAGGCGGGGGGATTCCTTTATACCTGAGTGTGCAGGCGGCGGCTGATCTGAGTGCAGTGGACCGTGCGCGCTGATTGGAGTGCGTTTTTTGCAATCACCCACCGAAAATGGAAAAATGGGCCCCGTTATGCGCGCCAGCCTCTCTGGCAAAAAAATGCACGACTGATTGCAAAAAAAAAAGCTGCACGCGTGCTGATTTTCTATTGGCTCTAATTTCCGTTCACCTGCACACATAGCGCCCCACGCTTGTCACGCGTTGGAATCTGATCTCTATTTGCCAGGCAGCCAATGGCGAAATTGCGTTGCAAGACCTGGGTTTGTTTTTTTGATGGGCTTGAATTCAGGCACCCGATTATTCCGATAATTGATTGACTGAGGCGAAACTCGACCCGGGGAAACGGGCCACAGTCCACAGTCCACTCTGGGGAACATGTCGCTATCCCGTTCCCGTTACAGTCTTGTCTTTGTATGAGTCTACGCGTATGCCTTGTGTGATGATGTGGTGGTTATTTTGGTTTTTGTAGCCTGCCTGATTATAATGCTTTGGTGGGTAGTTCATGGTTGTAACTTTGTGTGTTCTCAGTTGCTTGGACCGTACGTGATGTTATTCTGGTAGATGCGCACAACGATAATTTAATGCCTGTTCTCCCATGATGCATTACTTGTCGTACTTGGCATCTTTATTCTGTGTTTTTATTTTATTTTTTTTTATCGTTAACCATGGTTAATTTTTGGTTTGATGTGTGAGCATCAAGTTGAGTACTTTAAGTTGTTTGGCATGTTGAATGATGGAGATTACTTTGTTCGACGAAACAGTAAATCATCTCAACCGTAACGTAATTCGCCACAGACTATACTCAATGAGTCACAGCGACTTGGAGTTTCCTCTCCAAGGTTTACAATAAAATTTCAACCGCTTCACCACTTTACAGTGTATCCATGTCATAGATATCGTTAAATATATTATGCGGTCAAAAACTACCCTACAACGAAGCTTGACAGTGGTGGGACAATCTTGCATGAGTGGTTCGAGTTTAATTGGCCAGGTACATAGCATGCTGTGTTGGTCAGAGCTGAGGCCACCCCGCTTTCGATTTCGAAAATCAACGCAGGCCGATTTTTTAATTCGTCGGCTCAAAATTTTCGCGTCACTAGGCACTTACGCTCACAGATCGCGTCGCCCGGCAGGGATCAAGATCACACAGTGGGTCCAGCCAACTGATCCCGATTCTGGCCCACTCGTACTTAAGCTCTCCCACTCCCGCTCATCATTGCTGCATCTCATACTTGAACACTTTCATCTCACGACTCTCTACATCCACTGCACATCTCTACACCACGAGTGTATACACCAACCACACACAACCAAACAACCAACTTCCCCTCTCACGATGACTGGACGTAAGTACCACTTCACCTACGCCGATACTCGCTCGACCACAATCGACGCGTTATCGACGCGCCTCTTGTGTGAATCCTCCCAAAGCTAACACTTCTCTCAACAGGCGGCAAGGGCGGCAAAGGCCTCGGCAAGGGCGGTGCCAAGCGTCACCGAAAGATCTTGCGAGACAACATCCAGGGTATCACCAAGCCCGCTATTCGACGTCTCGCTCGTCGAGGTGGTGTCAAGCGTATCTCTGCCAGTAAGTTACTCACCAGACACTTCAGACTCAACCGCGCCTAACACATTCAACAGTGATCTACGAGGAGACCCGTGGTGTCCTGAAGACCTTCCTTGAGGGTGTCATCCGTGACGCCGTCACCTACACCGAGCACGCCAAGCGCAAGACAGTCACATCTCTCGATGTCGTCTACGCCCTGAAGCGACAAGGCCGCACCCTCTACGGTTTCGGTGGTTAAGCGCGTTCTGTTTTACATGCTGTTACGAATCTTTGCGGTCGACTGCTTGCTGTGCAGGACCATGTAGGGTGTTTCATGACGACAAATGGGTCCGGTCTTGTTTTTGGGTGTTCTGTATCATAGGGAAACGGGGGATTACATTCGGGGATAATCGAACATGCCCTTGAGGCGATCTTGATCATCACATAGTTTCTGCTCCCAATTGCCGTGAACGTCTCGTTGTATGCCGTAAAATGCACGTGAACCGTGACCACGTATACATGCAGACTTGTATGCGTCGGTATCTACGCATTCAGCTAGTCGCGTCGGGTAGAGCGTTTGTTATGTTTCGATTTTGTTGACGCGAGTGGATGTCGTATTCACTATATGCCGTTACGATACGTCTTGTACGTGACCAGGGCGATAACAAAGCTTCCACCAACATGTCCGATCTACCTCACCACCAGGATGGTTGACGGCGTTTTATGTAGAACTGTCTATCTCAATGGATCCATTCTCGTCAATGGTCACGCCGTGCAGCTTTGCGCTCATTTCGAGTTGATGGGTATATTATCATAGTCTCAGAGTTGATTTGGATCGAAGCATGCGTTTATGGTCGGGTGGTTTGGCGTTATTTCCCATCTATATAGAAAATTTCCGACATTTGTGATCTGGAAGGTTTCAGACGCCTTTCATAGTGGTGTATCTCATTGAAGCAAACTGCCTTTCTCACTCTGTTACGCGTTCAAGCACTCCGTGCACGCCAATCTACAAAGCTTGGCGTCTGACAGATATGTAGGTCGAGGTCTACAACAGACAAATATCATCACAATCACCATTCAAATATGCAACATGTAGAGGAATATTCCACGGATTGGCTCCGAGATAAGGCGCGCGACGTAAGTGCCAGCTCCCAGCCATATCAACTCCAAGCAACACCTCTCAAAAACACACTTCTTTCGTTGGTCTCAATGTATTGGCTCACTCGCATCGCAGGCTGGTATAGTCCCAGCCTACCCTGGAGGACGACACCTGAAGGCTCAGTACATGGTTAGAGATAGCTGGTAAACTCTCAATAACCGCTGTTGCACTGCCTTCACTGATGAGTCACTTCACTGCGCATCCATTGCGGTCCGTTGGGACAATACGAATGCGACAGGCCTCGATGACTGAACAAATACGGTTCTGGAACAGTCTAAATCTCATCTTGTGATCACTATCCTGATCCTTGGCAGCTGCGGGTGGAGTGAAGTTGATGGCGTTGAATTTCGCCGATACGTATTTGCAACGCGTAGCAAGGGAAACAGATCTAGGCATGCATGTCACTCGATAGATTGATATTCAGATATATCTCGTGTTCTGTCAATCGGCCGAAGATATCGGATTACGGAGCCTACGGGTGGCGAGAACAAAGGATCGTCGGGCCTGGACCACGTGGATGTTTGCTAAAATTAGAGGCCGCCACAGACGCAGAAAACCCGGGGGCGAAATTCCCCATGTTGGCTCATGCCTCGGTAGTATTCGATCATAAACAGCAGTAGAAAAAATGGTGTTACTGATCAGCTATTAATCAGCCTTGAAAGTGGCTAAATGACGGGGATTACAAATGGTTCCGAGATGTTAGAAATGATCGGATTACTCTGGAAACCCGAGAGCGACGGAGATAATGGCCATAACCAAATTCAGAACCCAACTCTCGGCAATGGGGTTTGTCATTAAGCTATGCATGCATGAGGCCCCCCCCCACACGGACAAGCCGAACAGTGGAAGCTGGAATTCAAAGATCAGATCTGTACGGCCAACAGATGCACCAGACTTGCAGTAACGATTTCAAGATGGATATTTGGAAGCAATATGGAACAACCATGTTGTACAGAGAAACGCCTCGACCAGTCAGCTGGTACCAGCTTACATCGATAGAATGTGTACTGCTTACGACCCCTGTAACGTAGCATAACAATACCTCAAGTTTTATTTTACACGCAGCTTGGTAATTGCTCAGCTTCGCTAAGTGGTTACTCATCCTGTTCGCCGACGACAACTAACTCGGAGGGCTGAAGAGCCGGATGGCTGACAAAATGCTTATGCGCAAATTGCTCGTATCTGCTACTCGAGGAAACCGATTGGCATGTTACTCACTCCCGAGTTCTGCACGGACAGGCGGTAAAGACTATCGGTAGTTACTATAAGCCATCCAACATATACGCGTAGTGAGATGCTCAGACTCTAATAGAGATAGATGGATCGCCCGGTGCCGGCCTCAGCCGCCGCCGTTGCGGGTCTGTACAGGAATTTCGCCGCCAGCCCTACGCGGACCCAACGGACGGAAGAAAAGCACCTAGTCCCAGGTAAGCCACACTATGGCTAAATGTTAGATAGAGCTGAGAATTAGCTGAAATTCATTCCACGCTGCAGTAGATGCAGTAGATGCCAGTTCTCGGACCGGGGAAGCACGATCGAGATGAACATGGCGTGCAATTCATAAGGTGGTCATGAGCTTTTGCCGACAAGTCACACCCCCAACAAAATGATATGTACATCTTTCATCTTTTACAGAGACCCAGGTACCTTAGGTAGGGTGAGTCCACGATAAAGGATTGTTGATTTTGTGCCAACGGCCCGTATGAGTTCCTTTCATAATATCCCCCCAAGCATTTGCGGATTGATTTCCTGCCTACTCATGAATCTTTTCGGATAGGCATCATTATCAGGAAGAGTCACACGCTCCCCTGATCATCTACAATGGGAAGTGCTGCCCGAGCAACGGGGAACCAGAGTGATCATCAAAGCTGTCCGAGGAGTTAACCGTGCCGGAAAACCCGTTGTGCTGGGTTATCATGGAGGCAGCTCAGGTCGCGGAGAAACAAAACACAAAGGGCTTCTAGAAACAGGTGGGACCAAAACGAGATCGATCTGGGCAGCTTAAAAATGGACTCTAAAACCAGAGCTTGTGGCTTAGCATGCAATGAGCCACACTCCTGATTGGTTGGAGCACAAAGTCCGATGGCATCCGACGGCTGGTAGCGGATCGGTCAGGCCGAGAATGCACTGCAACGAAGACTTTTGAGAAATGCTCACCCAATTATATCTTTTCTTTTCATCAATTGTTTAACTTTTCCCGACCAGCGAGATGCGACCAGGGT